CGGCCCTGCGATTCCGGTTACGAAATATGTTTAAAAGAGTGTTCCTTTGGCGCGGTAATGATTATTCAAGTAAACTCTCCTACAACTCTTGTTTTCTCGACCCTTATACCAACACGTATCAAGCAGCCAGGGCGCGAAATAACGGCTGCAGGATCACCGGTCAAGGTGACCGTCCAACTTAATTTTAGCTCGGACATACCGAATTTCTGGCCGGTCAAATTATTCAGCTTAAAGCAAAGCCTAGTAAAGTGTACACCTAAAAATGTGACTATTTTCCCTAGAAATGTGACCGTTTCCCATTTTTTTTAGCATTACAAAAAGCCTTATACTGTAATCAGTAATTACAAACTCTTTCACATAAAGGCCCATTAAACAGCTTGCACTGCGCTAAAAGCATGACCTATAACTCTTAAGCCAAAAGCATGGCCATGGGCTTTGTAACGTGGGAAAGCTGCCGTACATTCAAGTTCTTTTCCCGCAAAATATTTGACAACATCTTATGGTTCTTAATTATAATACTTGACAACTTTGTTTTGATTATTAATTCAAATGAAGATTAGTTTGTTTTTTACCGAAAGTGACCGGTCAAAATGACCGGCAAGGTAAGAATTTGACCGGACAACTCCGCATTCTGGCCGGACATTGTCCGTTGACCGGCCGTTATTTCGCGCCCTGAGCAGCATTAACCCGTATTGATACAACATTTTTATTTTTATGAATTTATAGAAATTGCATCTTCCACCAGACGTTAGCGAGACCACGAGTGATCGACAAAAGGATCCATTGTCTAAAAATCCTGGCTCGTATGGTTGTGGCGCGTCCTTGAGTAAATTGGATTTCTAAGTAAATCCAAATACTTTGTGCTCTGACGGTGCTTCCATTTCACCAGGTGGGTGAGAAAGGCATTGTGGGAACGTCCCCTGATATGTACAGTACATATACCCTAGTCTACACGTACACCTACACCTGAATATAACTGGAACCCTATCTTTCCACAGCTACTTTTTAATGAACTCAAAAGTTGTAGTTTGCGGTTGGCTGCCTGCCGTAAACTGTCAATAGAGAGTTTAAGTTTCGCGTTGATACGTCAAACAGCAAACGCCGGGCAAGGAAAAACCTTACGTTATAAGGCAATAAAGAGTAAACGGACTTGCTATTTTAAAACTATAATGTGTACCTATGAAATACATGCATGCAGCAACCCCTCACCTTTCTCAACAGATGAAGTATAAAAACTCCACATAAAGTGTTAACACTATTATAAACAAACATAAAAACGTAAACACACCTGATGTTCTAAAATGAACGATAACTGATAACACTCGCTGCAATTTCATGTATACCAGCTTCACAGCTTGCACAAAACACATTATTTATTGTGAATTATCGAGTTAAGAATGCATGGCTTAAAAATTTTGCAGATATGAATAAAATTGACAAGACAAAGCAAATACGGAATGGAATTTTACTACTGAAATATTTACACTTATCCAAACCGGCACAACAACGATTAAAATATTAAAAGCATCAACATCAAAACAATTACAAACTTTGTTTCACGGTTGAACAGCCATTAATTCATAAAACTACAGGCTTATTTCCATTTAAAATCGAAAAACAAAACATTTTGTACGAAATTTAAAACAAAAAGTGCTGCAAAACAGCAAAATATTTCCTTTCAAAAAATACAAAACAATGGACACTCCAAAAACAGTTAAGATTTTTAATTCGACGTTTCGACTATCTTGCAGTCATCATCAGGAAATGATGACTGATGACTGATGAAGACTGCAAGATAGTCGAAACGTCGAATTAAAAATATTAACTGTTTTCGGAGTGTCCATTGTTTTGTATTTTTTTTTAAATTACTCAGTGGTAACCGTAACTTCCGTCCTTTCAAAATGAAAAACAATTTATTTAGCCAAAGCCTATAGTCACGCGTGCGCATAACGTCGAAAACCGTCCATGACATAAACAAAATGGAGGACAACTTTAAACTTCGCTATGTTTTCACAATTCACATACCCGGGTATAATTAGCCGTGCGGAATTAGTACCCTCGCCCCAGGCTTACGCCAGGAACGGCGCCGTTCGCTCGGGGATGGTTCTTTTGACACAAGAAAGAAAATATGAAGCGAAGAAATCGAACAAAAATTCTGCCAAGAAAATTTGACTCTGCAGTTTGCCGTTGCCCTCAGACTCACGCCTAAACTCCCTAGTCTTTAGGCCGAGACACGCCTGGCGTGATTCGACAACGCGACGCGATTTTTCAGTTTTTGAAAATTAATAAAACAACCAATGAAAGTAAATATTAAACGATATGTAGAGCAAATAACTCAAAATGTTATAGTGTTTATAAATATTTGAAAAACTTGAACCAGGATCAAAGTTATCGTTCGATGAATATCGAAAAATGGCGCCTCGTTGTCGAATCGCGTCCGGTGTGTCTCAGCCTTTAATGTTTCTATTATTTCGCATCACGCATACGTCTGCATATCCCAGTGAGCTCTATATATATCTGGAACAAGAACTTTAGTCATTCGGCTCATGAGAAAAATGAAGCCAAGTGAAAAATGAAACCATTTTCCCCAGCTAAATGCAGTTTTTAGTTTTTTCTACGGACCGTATCGCTTATAAAGTTTTCAGCTGATAAAATCATAATAGTAGTCTTTAAATCCAAGTCAAACTACGAAATTTCGGCACACTCCTTGAAGAGCTATTGGACGTCAGTTCCAATCCCTTTCTATTGTTTTTGTCTGTGCGGTTAACATGAAGCTGGCTTCCCTTTTTTGCCTTGAGTTCTCGCTCCAGTATGTATGGAGCTCACTAGCATATCCCGACCAGGGATGGATTTACTGGGGGTGCGGGGGAATGCGCACCCCCTCCCTAACCCTGGCCAGAGGGGGTGCAGGAGGGGCGCTATTTTTCATGATAAAGCAAAAAAAATTTAGAGATAAAATAGATATTGTACAGAGTACACTTGTACCGTATGGAGGTTGTTTTGCCAAATTGTCAGAATACTGCTGTTGCTGTATGTTGATGGACGGGCTGCACACATGTCCGACACAACTCGAGTCACTCGACACCAGATCTGGCAGAGCACCCCCCCCCCCCTACCAGATCATGCTGGATCCATCCCTGATCCCGATAATGGTGATGTGTACGCGCTTTTAATGAATGATAAAATGTAATGAATGCGGGGATTTTTTTAAATAAGTATAATTGTGTGATGAACATCTGAATGTATGTGATTGTTTTAAGAGGGTCCTGAAGGGGGGTCCCAATCCCATTTCCCACCTGAAATTTTGGCAAAATCCCAGTCCTAGTTGGATTTTTATTAGAAATCCCACTCCGAGTTATTGAAATCCCAGTGAATAAAAACCCATTTATTTATCGGTAGAATAAACAGTTTTAAGACCTTTTAAGCCACCGTGTGTGCAAGTGGCGAACACTATAAAACTTGAATCCCGGAAATGGCTTTTGCAGCATTCTAAGACACGCATAATCAGAAAACCCAGAATTCCGGGCGCCAGAGTATGCATGTTCGCAGGTAGTGCTGTGAATAATATAGTTAACAACAAAAATCATGACCAAAGGCACTAAAAACGGATCAAAATTGGGAATCGACTCGCATTACTTCAATCCCATTCCCATTTTTGAGAACTTCATTTCCCATTTCCAGTGGCCAAATCCCATTTTCCCAGTCTAAAAATAGATCAATCCCAGTTCCCATTTTACCCCTTCAGGACCCTCTTTTAAACAACAAACAAACAATACTGTCAATACATGCAATAATTGTAATCAATTTCTCACCACTTCAAGCATTGCCTGCCAATAAAAATATCTTTGCCTAAGTTTATAGTTTTTTTATGTATCTTTAATTTAAGATAATTCCCAAACCGAACAGCGATGATATTTCAAGAAACTCCGATTCTTGCTTTGTATAAATTATATAATTATTTAATCAGCCAGGTATTCTTGCTTTTAAATATTTAGATGTATGACAAAATCTGCAAAACTAGTCTCCATAATGGTTGGAATGTGCCATTTCAAAGTGTCTAAATTTCACGGGGAGATGCCATTGGAACCCCGCCTAGGTAATGGTGCCTTTGGCACTGTATAGCCGCCTACTTCTTTAAAAAAGCCTTTTACTCCAAATTCAATTGGGAATCCTGATTATACAATTACTTTATGGTTTCCGTGTTTGGATGGCCTGATCCAAACACGCGGGAATGTTGCGAGAGTTAAGAAAAGCGAGCGAAATCACGAGCCGAAGGCGAGTGATTTTGCCCGCTTTTCTTAACTCGAGCAACATTCCCAAGTGTTTGGATCAGTCCATCCAAACACGGAAACCATAAAGTAATTGTTTTATAAAATAACAACAACACGGTAGTCTTCCGTGTTTGGATGGCCTGATCCAAATACGGCTTTCGACCAATCAGAATACGCGTTATATACATGTTATTTTATAAAACGACCTTACCTGACTTTAAATGATCATCGAACGTCTTGTTCTTCTGCTGTTCTGCTTTGTTCCTTGCAGCGTCATAAACCAACGTATAATAAATCGTAACAGTGCGATAATAAAAACTTGGTCAAATTTTTAATTCATTATTAACCAGCTACATAATTAGTTGTTTGATGTACTATTTAAAACGCGAACAGGAGTGCTTTATCAGATATATGATATATCATTATAATATAGCATTTGTAAATTCTGAACGCTGATTGGCTAAGAGCCGTGTTGATATAGCTCAATGTCAACACGGGAAATTTTCCGCTGCTTGTAAACATGGAAATGTTTCTTATCCTTCGGGCTTTTGACATTGCTATATTATAAAAAAAATATAAAACATTTTTTCCGTATCGATATATAGTTATATCAACACTCGTGGAAGTTGGGAAAACTCGAAATTGTATGAAAACACTCCGCCCTTCGGGCGTCGTGTTTCCACACAATTTCTCGTTTTCCCAATTCCACTCGTGTTGATATAACTGTATATCAACACGGAAAATGTTTTATATTTGTTAAGTGCTGTATAGAACACGAGATAACGAGAGCGCATCCCTAGTGTTTTATATTTGATAAAGCAAGGTCTGCGAGTGTTTTAAACCGCCCATCTGATGAGTTCATTGACATTGGCGAAGTAATTTTAAATTTAACGAGAAAATCAAAGCTAAAGGTTTTGAAAATAAACATGATTTTTTATCACATAAAACCACCGACACGGCAGTGATTTCCTTTGTATTTTCCTCTTTTTTACACTAAGCCATATTATTTTCTACAAAGTTTATCTAAATCTACCGCTGTATTACATATTGTTAAGATATTAAAATGATATCACTTTGCATAAATGTCAAAACAATACGTGACTCGACAGAGCCATAGCAACCGGGACCCTCAGGGGGACTGCAGCCCCCAATAATTTACATAATAACATAATAATAGCTGTCAGAGTGGTCATGTGGAATATATTTCGTCTCAAACTGCGAACAAAATATTTGTATTAGCGTTTGAATTACGCTTAAATTTTCAATCTTTTTTGAGGATCTGAACCCTCCTTCCGTTTAGTGATTTTTGGAATTCAAAAGCTTCTTACGGTACCGGTACCGGTACCGCTCGATGGAACGGTTACATTTTCAAAACAATGAAAACACAATGGGACATGCCCATCACTGGATCGTGAATGGGCTGCACTAGCTATTGTTATGTTATTAAGTGTTATACAAAATGCCTCGTTAGAAACAAGAACGTGAACAGAGTTGCAAAAATTGTTCAAACGGGTAAAATTTAAACTTTTCAAACCTTCCTCAAAATAATGCGAATAAGGGCTTTTTCAAATTGCAATATATATAAATTATGTCATTCTGCTTTTTAATCAGCCGGTTGACGGCATTGTACTCACATACAGACAAACAGTACAGGCTCGGGGCTCCCAGCGGATATATATGTTACGATTGCTACAAAAATTCCAGCCCTCAGAATGCTGCTGTTACTACTAGCTGTACTACATTGTTTTTGTAGCAATCGTAACCTCAACATACCTGTATCATTGTGTTAGTGTTGAGTAGGATCTTCGTTGACACTGACCTCACATATGGTAAGCCGTCCTCAAGGGAAGTACGCACACCCGCTTTTTTGTAACTTTGCACATGAATCACACTACATATTTAGTATTATTTGGCTTCTACACTGGTGTTTCGTCGCGTATCTCTAGCATATAGCTTCTACTCTTTTCGTAATATTGACTAGAAAGTGGTTGAAAATACAACATTCCATCTCTGTAGTCATAATCATGTTCGACTTCGCTAATAGTTTTCAACATTTCTCTATCAGAGTTTCTCTCTGTCAAACTTGATACTGAGTCTATACTCGATCTATAGTCGCTGCAGTAGATTCCAGAATCCTGGGCTTGGACTTTGCGTAGTGTACCACTGTTTATTGCGTATTCGAATGACTTGGATTGATCCGCCGAACCCTGGCTGCTGCTCATCGAGCTTGTCAGTGAATGGTATTGTCCTCCTCTATATGCTAAATTTCTGGAATAAAATTTAGAAGCAACAGTGTTCCTCCTAAGATTTTCATTCTTTATAGTTGATTGATTGGTTTTGGACAAGTTATTAGTTAAATCTTTCTTCACGTTGACTGGACTAATTGTTGGATTTTTATGCTCTGGAGTATCTACTGTTTCATACTTTCGTACGTCCGTGGAGTCCCGGTTATTCTGGATTGGCTGATCGGTTGGTTTATATTTTCCATCATTTTGTGCGTAATTATTCATACAACCAATTCTTTTATTTGTTTTATCGATGTGACATGTATCATCAAAGTGTAAATCGTTTATTGAACCTTGATCTCTCGGAGAGATACCATTCATTCTGTCTCGAGTGTCATCTTTTGTTTTATTTCCATCGCTGTACCCATTTATTAATCCTTGTTTTTGTTGATTCGCAGTAGATAGTATGAAATTTGACTTTTTGAAACCACCATTCTCTCGCATTAAGCTTTTGACATACACCTCGTTATTTCTACCGCCAGTATTTTCGTTGTCTGAAGCATATTCAGTTGCTTGAAAATTTTGAGAGCTTTCAATTTCTTTGTTGGTAAAATGCGGATTTAAAGGCTTTCCAGTCTTATTTACTAACTCAATAGTTCTTCCCGTTAGATCTTTCCCGCTATCCTCATTTATTATAATAACCTGATTGTCTGCGACTGATTTAGTTTTAGGTTCGTCTTGAATTGTTTCGCTGATGATCTCCTTCATTTGCACATCTTGCTTTGACTTAAACGTTGTTTCTGTATCAATCAAGTTCCCGTTATTGTCTGAACTACCTTTAGTCAAATTATATTCGTCATCAGACGTTTTCTGAATGATGCTGCTTGGAATATTTTTAGTCCCTCCTTCTTTGGTATTCTCTATCGTGAGTGTTTTTAGGCTGTCGGGCGACGAAAATTGACTATTTGATGGTTGATTTTTACCTATTTCCACCAGGGTAATTGTGCTACGTTTGGTCTTTACCGAATCTAAACCACCAGTTTCGCTCTCGCTAGGTTTTCCGCTTTTTCCGTGGTAGTCAAATGTCTTCCCTGCATGATCAATTGTGAAACAATTTTGCAAACTGGGACCTTGCATTTCGTCATTATTTTCCAGGCTTTTATTTTCTCTTTCTTGACATAACATGAACGCTTTCTGTCGCATTAGTGGAGACGAAGAACGTTGAACCGTCCGATCGAATTCCGCTCTAAGACTGGAATCGCTTTCATTAGATAAGAATGAACGCTGGTTGCCTACTAATTTTTCTTGCTTTAACATCATGTCACTTTTATTTCCTTTAGAATCAATTCTTGTCCCTTCGTTTGATAATTCCCTGTTCAGTTCAGAACAGTTGATATCAACTTTGGCCTTCTCTTTACAAATATTACCAACTTCCTCATTCATTTCAGGCGATCCTTTCTCTCCCTCGAGTTTTTTCGCATCAGCTTCGTGATGGTTCGTGTCAACTCTGTTACGCTTGAAATCAACATCGTGCTTCGTTTGAAATTTGTTACCCTTCGTTTCGAATTCGTTATGTTTCGCATTAACTTCGCAATGATTCGTATCCACTCGGTTATGCTTCGGAAGAACATCGCTATCCTTCGTATCAAGCTCGGGCTGGTTTGTATCAAGTCTGTCTTCACTAGGTATTGTGTCGTTCGATCTAGTTTCATCCAACGAGCCACTTACCAGGACAATGTCGTTAGTATCACAATATTTTGCAGAATTTTCGTCTTCGTTATGTCCTGTGCACCCATTCGTGGCGAGATTAAGGTCCATTTTGTCCTCAGAAATGTTTAATGTTGGTAAAGTAGGACAACTTGAACGCCTGAAGGAACTGGGTTCGGGCGAGGCTTGATTTCCTGGAAAACGGAATACCATTGACGTGGAACTAACACTTGAGTTTGGTGTGTTGAAGCTAGTGATACTTGTTCTGCATGATTCATCATTTGGTGAGCTTCCTCGAGATGATATAGTCGGCGAAACCTGAAGCAATTCTAAATGGCTTTTATTTGGCGAGAGTTCGCCGCTGGTACGTTTTGATTTACTACGATTCTTGCGACTCTTTGCCGCCTTAGCTTGCCATCTTTTTCCTAGAAACCCGACAACAAACACGCTACCTCGTCTTCCCATCCGACCAGGAAGATTTTTACCTGAAAAGCCTTGACCACTCAATGCTGGAGAACTTATGGCCTTCTCCACTGCAAAATGAGACCTTTTTAATTTCTTTTTTGTCTTCCTACTTGATTTCCGATCACTTGTTTCATCTTCATTATTTGATCCGCTCATCTGAGAAGCAGATGAGTTGCATATAATTTCAATCTTGGGTAAAGTGCTCTGATTTCGATAATATTGCTCGCCTTGGGGTACACTGTCTTCATCACTATCCAACTCTCCATCTTCGAATTGAAACGTCATCGGTACAGTTCTCGGTGTATTTTCGTTTTCGCTGTTTTGCTCTATGGCTTCATTCTCGTAAGCTCCATTGCACTTCTTCGTTTCGCTTGGATCGAAACATTTCGCCAAGTCCTGGCAAGGTTCGTCTTGTGTATATGAGGTAATGGACAGACGGTTCCTAATTTCCGATGACATCGTCGACATATCGTGTGGTCGTTCTGGGACAATGATCGTGAAATCTTCAGAACCTCTGCAGTAATCTTCGGAAATCTGTGCAGAAGTTTCATTGATGTATTTCGATGAAATGCATTGCTTCATGTTGTTGTCAAAATTTCTTGCCTGGTCGAATTGCCAAAACTTATCAGGCAACCTAGACAAGCGTCTTCTGTTCGGACTTCCAGGTGGCTCGCTGCTGTCAAATGAACTGCCAGCCATATCTAAAGCAATCTTCGGCCAGGTTCTAACTCGGGAACTTGGGCTCATGTAACTCGCGTTTTCTGACATTCCACTAAGTCTGAGATTTGTAGTCCTAGATCCGACAAACGGGTCGATAACTTTCAACGCGTTTGCAGCTCCGATGACTAGCGGCCGTTTCCGTTGAGACGCCTTTTGCTTCGCTTTAGCGTGGGAGTAGTATAGCGAGAAATTACTCACAATGACAGGTATAGGTAGAGCAATAGTTAGAACGCCACATATCGCACATGCTGTACCAACTAGCTTGCCGGGTAATGTCTCCGGAACGATGTCGCCATAACCTAGCGTTGTCATAGTAACCACTGCCCACCAAAAACCTGCTGGGATAGATGAAAACTTTTTGGCCCCGGACTCGTGTTCGGCATAAAACATCAGCGTTGAAAACACAACCACGCCAATACTGAGAAAAAATCCAAGCAGAAACAACTCGCTTAAGCTCGATCTTAAAGTATGGCCGAGGATCTGAAGGCTGTATGAGTGCCGCGATAATTTAAATACCCTGAATACACGAATCAAACGGATTATCCGCAGAGCCACTATAGAATTCATTTCTGTGTTTGTAAGGAATAGTTGAAGATAGAACGGGATAATTGCAGCGAAATCTAGCCAGTTCATGATTTGTTTGATGAATTTTCGTTTATTTGGGCAAACAGTAAAGCGAATTAAGATTTCAGCTGTAAACCATATCACACAGATTATTTCCAATATGTGAATGACTTGATGTTGAGTAGATTGCGATTCCGAGAAATATTCCATTGTTTCTAAACATGAGGTTATCACTGAGGCGATTATCAACAACATACTCAGCATCGCGATTATCTAGGAAATAATAAATCCATGTAAGAGAGTTGAATATTTAAAATTAACAGTTATTCTCGAAAATGAGCTGATAGTCGACGAGGTGTGTAGCACCGAGTGCACTATCAGTCATTTATACAACGAAATTGAAACCAGCTTTGGTTGATCCATGGGGCTAGCGTCGTTAAATAATGTTATAAACAAGACGCCTGCTCAGGCGTTCACACTGGCCTGAAAATAACGAGATACGTGCTATGGTGCAAAAGGCAGGAATACAAATCTTAAACCGCAAGCAAATTTTATGGACTTTTTAAAAAAATAAAAGACCTTTTCGGGAGACGTAATGGAGATCGATGCACGTGCAAATCATGCCGACCTACAGAATCGATTTCCGGTTTTTCCTAACAGCGCGTTGTTTTCATGTGCGTTCCATGGGCCGCGCTAAAAATATAAATATTCTGTAAATACCGAAATAAAAGATGAAAATCTCAAGACACAAGCTTGAAAATAACACTATAAATAGTGTTTTCGATTCTGGTTCCAATAACATTATCACGAAAAAGATTTGTCCAAAGGGGCCGAAGTTATGTTCGGCAAAATATATGGCTAGTTTACATTGTTTGTTGTATTATGAAATATGATACCATACTTGTATTAAAATTCGCGTCGAACTAATGTTATTGTAAATGAGTAGACTTGCCACAAGTCGACCTCGAACGAAATTATATACGTTTCTTCGAGGTCGACCTGTGGCAGGTCTAGCAAATGAGAACCATACAAATGATACAATAATGGTTCTAGTTCCTGTTGGTATTTTGAACGCACGCTTTATCTTTAGTATACCACAAAGCTTTTCGCGCGGATTATATTTCGTGGAGTACTAAATATTATATTTTGTGGTTTTCGAGTCATCACACAAAGAAAAACACATCAATTCAACACGCAAGAAAGTCCAGAGTACGACACAACGTAAAATACATAGGAAACCGGCACAATTCTTTGAAAATTCAACGAAACTGTGTAAAATATAGTTTGATCACTCTGTGAAAAGCCGCCGTTGCAGTTCGGAATTGTCGCGTGCGTACAAGTGTATAGGCTAATAAACGAAAAATGTACCACAAGCATGGCATGAGTCGGCTATTACGTGCATATATACGAGCTTATTACTATACTATCTAAATCATGGAACCAAGGAACAAACTCGATTTCTCGACTACGAAAAAAACAGAAAAAGGGGGATTTAAGACACTTGGCCTTACAGGCCAGTGTAATAAACAAAATGATGTAAAGTCTGCCGCGAAGCCCGGGTCAATATGATCATCGCCCACTTGGTTAATACTAAACCAGATTTGCAAGATTGGATAAATTAGAGGTTGTTCATATGAGCCTCCCGGCCCGGCTATAGTCAGGATGAATCGAAAATGTTTTCCTGACCATAAACAATCTTTTGAATGACCTTTATACTGTTAGTGGAATCAAACTAAGCTAATTCAACTTTGAAATGTCATTTGGATGTTTACCAAAGCCGTAATAAGAGCTTTATCAAACGAATCATCCCGGTTAACCTGGCCAGCCCGACTCGATATGAACGGCCCGTTATTTGTACAGGTAATCATTCGATGGCGAGTACAATTAGGGATTAATAGTACGAGTGATGTTTGGAAATTTTGCCAAAATTGGACGAGCCACCGAGGCGAGTCCAATTTGGCAAATCTCCAAACATCACGAGTACTATTAATCCCTATTTGTACTCGCCATCGAATGATTACTTGTTTATTATTAGCATGACAAAATTGGATACTTCTCAATGTCAACATAATATTCTCTCGCCGATGCCCACTCCTGCAAGACTTTCAACCAAAATTTGGTGCTTTTGTTCGTATTTTCATTTAGTTCTTTTGCTAACGCAAAATTTGGTGCTTTTGTTCGTATTTTCATCTAGTTCCTCTAGGGCAATTTCATTTCACATTTGTGTTTAAAATACCTTTCCGCCATTTTGTTTGTTTTGGGAAAATCATTAATTGTACTGCAGTACAATTAATGAAATAATTGTACTCCTCTCAACCAATCAGCATCCAGTAATTTTGTCATGCTAATAATAAAACAAATAACACGCTAAAATATTGATACCATTAATCCGTTTTAAATATATATCATCCAAAACGTACACACATAAGAATCCGGCTCACAACTTATCAACAAGATGTGTTCGCAACAGGCTTGTAGAAGCTTGTCAACAAGTTGTAACAATGCTGCTATTTTGTCAAGTTGCTACGAGGGTGTCACTCACAACTTGTTGACAAGTTGTTGAATTGCAGGACGATAACAAGTTGTTGGAACAAGTCTGTTGAGCTGAACAACCTTGTAGCAAGTTGTCAACAGGCTGTTGAAAACTTGTCAAGAAGCCGTTGACAACTTGTCAACAAGCTGGGAACAAAGCAGTGCGAATACATCCTGTTGACACGTTACTGGAACAGCATTGCTACAAGTCTGTCGCTAGCCTGCTCGCAGCCCCCACCCGAAAATTTGAAACGGAAAACTAGGACCCAGGAATATATTCTTAATGGCGATTCCTGTCGAATCGATTTTGTAAAACTGTGGAGATAAGAAAAGCGGGCGTATGTACGTATAGGTATTTCTTCACGATGAGTTTCAAGTAAATATTTGATAATTTGTGCAATAATTCTTCAATATTTTCTGCGCAACAGGCCTACTCTAAAGCTCTAACAGCTGTATAAAGATCTGGCCAAACGAAGCCAAGAGAGTGGATGAGAGATCACCAACTCTCATCCACTCTCTATATGCACTCTCATGAACTTTGAGCTGGTTCACATTTTGTGAAGGTAAAATAAAACAAAAGAAACTTTATTTAAAGAATATAACATTTGACAGTATTAGTTACTGATAACTCCGTGGCCTTCTGCATATCTAAACATGCATAAACATACAAATGGCATTAGAATTAACGTTCTAGTATGTCATTGGCGACTTTCTGTTCATTTAAAAACGGGCTATATAAGTCATTCTTAAAACTAGACAGCGACAGTTTCTTTCTTATATCAATCTTGTTACAATATATTATAGTTCTCACAGCAAAGGTTGAGTAGAGTTCTCGCTACACGTGCGCGGCTCATCAACCCTTATGCAACTCTTGTTCTCGTTTGACTCATGGGGAACGAGAGTCGAGTAAACAAGCTCTCGCTTGCCAATACTCATCATCCTTGTTTCACCATGACTTAAGATCCCGACATTAATTCAATATGAATGATTTGCTGTATAACGATGAACAAATTTACGGTCATAGTGTCATTAAATGTCGACCACATTCTATTCTTGTCATTATTATGCATGTAGTCTATTGTTATTATTTTTGAATCCTTAAATTAAAAAGCTTGCGGTTGGACGACGATTTATTGTTGTGTTAGGTGTTGTGGTGGCTGGAAAATAAAAACTTGTCATAAAAAAATGTACTTTTATCTACACACTCGCAATTGATAACTAAAACTTCCCATGCAGCAGTATTAATGTATTAATGTATTATTTTTAGCCAGTATTAATGCAAATCGAAATTTACAAGCAGGTGCATGCTGTCCTTGGCTGTGAACGTGCAGATCCCCGTAGCTGTCGAATAGATGATAATGTTTTACTAATTTGAAATGCTAATTTCCCGCTTAGTCCATTACTGTCCTTTCTCGATCTTATCTTAATTCCTTCTAGAACACCGCACGTTAGTTTTCCATCCTAAGTACATGCGAGTTTCTTCCTTATAATTCGTTTCTTCTCTCAATTTTTTTGCATCAAAATATTACCTTTTTTTATTTCTTTATCATTCTTACCCATGCTATGATGTTATAACATTAAATATAATAATATTACGTATATACTACTTTTTAAAACACAAGCAGGAGTGCTTCATCAGGTATAAAAGACGAGGTGATATTTGATAAAGCATGTACATTGAGTGTTTTAAATGGCTTAAAAACGACCCATATTTTATGAGTTAGTGGCAAAGGAATTTTAAAAATCAACGTTGCATGTCTAAACCGAGAAAACCAACGCTAAAATTTATGCAAATTAAAATGATTTTATATCGCATATAAAACCACTGACACGGTAGTGATTTCTTTTGTCTTTTCCTCAAAAATTATTGAATTTTTCTAAATTTAATTCATGAGAATTGATGAGAATTCTAACTCGTTTGAGCAGTAATATGCAGTGAAACACACGTAAAACACACAAGTAACAAACCTCCAGCATTATAATACACATATAGTCGCAGCCTGAAGTTGTTTCAGTCATTCGTATGTTTTACTTCACTACTGAAACACACGCGTTAAGACTGCTTTCCAGTTAAGCGTTTTTCATGTGTGAATAAAAAGTTTGTTATGTCTTTTATCAATGATCCAAATATCAGAAAATGTACTCAATTTTAAGTTCTTTTCAATGCCTATCACGCATGCTTAATTCCTGCATGCATTTACCTAATTTGCATATTGTTATTGTAAAAAAAAGTAAAATAACAATATGCAAATTAGGTAAATGCATGGATTAAGCATGCGCGAAAAGCATTAGTGCCAAAAATGAAAGTTTCAGTAGCAATTTAAAGGACTTAAAATTGAATATTCTGATATTTGTACCATTGATAAAACACATACCCGATTTCTGGCCCATGAACTCAAAATGCGTTTTGAACTTTTAAATTTGGTGCGCATGCAAGATATTTTTACGACGGTGCTAAAAAGACACCCCCTGCTCTGGAAAATTTATCTTCACGAATTTTTTTTGTTTTTTCTACATTTCGTTTTTTTCATTTTTACCTGAACAATCTATATTTATCGAAAATTTCATGAACGGATTTGTGAAAATTATACATCCTTATATATCTATTGATGTTAATCAACACTCAGTAATTTATTTACCGTCCAAAATGAATACTACACCATTAAGTTTCTTCGAAATCTTACGCCTTTAAAGAAAGTAGATATGCAATGCAATGCAATGAAAAATTTAAATTATGATTAAACTGTCTTTGCCAGCCTAGGTTGTCACAATAACACCAGAAAGCTGCGGATTGATTCAACTACCTCAAAAATACAAGTAAAACTTTTTGGCTGTACTGACGTCCCGACGAAGGACCGTCGCTCGAAACGTCGAAATTTTACTTGTATTTTTCAGGTACAAACGTAAAAATCTCACAACTTGTCAACAACATGTGTTCACAACAGGCTTGTAGCAAGCTTTAAAACAAGATGTGTCCGCAACATGCTTGTAGCAAGCTTGTCAACAAGATGTGTTCGCAACAGGCTTGTACCAAGCTTGTCAACAAGTTATAACAATGCTGTTAAGTTGCTACAAGCTTCTCACTCACAATTGCTGATAAATTGTTGAACTGCAGGACGATAACACGTTGTTGGAACAATTAAGTCGGTTAATTGTGCTGAACAACTTTGCCCAAGCTGTGAAGAAATTTAGAACAAGAATATTTTTTGACCTTTTGATTACCGGATTTTTCCTAGGGGAAATAAATACAGTAGCTGCGGCACCAAAAATACGATCAATAGACTGAACATATATATATATATATATATATATATATATATATATATATATATATATATATATATATATATATATATATATATATATATATATATATATA